TAGAGTAGTTCCAGTATTACAAACATGTTCTACATATGAGTTTGTATATGATCATGCTTGTTTTTGTTTATATGCTTCTCTTTTGGATCCATCTTCCATGTATGAGAGAAAACATGCAGACTTTGTCTGAGCCTGACTTACTTCACTTAACATGATCCCCTCCAATTGTATCCATTTACCTTCAAACCACATGTCATTATTCCTTATGACTGAGTAAAACTCAATTGTGTATATATACCACATTTTCTTGATCCATTCATCAGTTGTAGGGCATCTGGGTTGTTTCCATAGCTTGGCTAGTATTAATAGTGCTAAGATGAACAATGGTGTATAGATATCTCTATTGAATCCTGATTTGTGTTCCTTTGGGTAAATGCCCAGGAGCAGTATCACTGGATATATGGGAGTTCTATCTTTAGCTTATTGAGGAATCCCCATACTGCTTGCCATAGTGGTCATACTAATTTGTATTCCCACCAACAGTGTATAAGGGTTCCTGTTTTGCCACATCCTCATCAGCATTTGTTGCTGTTATTGCCTTTGAACATGGGGTGAGATGAAATCTAAGTGTTGTTTTGATTTGCGTCTCTTTTATAACCAGGGAAATTGAACACTTCTTCATGTACTTACTGGCCATTTGCACCTCTTCCTTTGAGAATTACCTGTTTAATTTATGTACCCATTTCTTCATTGGTATGTTGGTTCTTTGGGGGTTGAGTTTTTCTACTTCCCTGTAGATTATGGATATTAATCCCTTATCGGATAAGTAGCTGGCAAAGACGTTCTCACATTCTGTGGGCTGACTCGAGTCTGGTGACTGTTTCTTTTGCTGTGCAGAAGCTCTTCAATTTGATGCAGTCCCATTTCTTCACTCTTTCAGATGCTGAGCCATTGGAGTTCTATTTAGAAAGTCAATTCCTATACCTTTATGTTCCATTGTATTTCCTACTGCTTCCTGGAGTTGTTTCAATGTCTCAGGCCTTATAGTAAGCTCTTTGATCCACTTTGAGTTGATTTTGGTGCAGGGTGAAAGACAGGGATCTAATTTCAGTGATGTACATGTGGATATTCAGTTTTCCCACCAACATTTGTTGAACAGGCTGTTTTTTCTCCATTGTGTGTTTTGGGCTCCTTTGTTGAAGATCAGTTGGTGGTAGGTACATGAGTTTATGTCCGTGTCTTCTATTCTGAGCCATTGGTATTCCTGCCTGTTTTTGAACCAATATGATGTTGTTTTCATTGTTATGGTTCTGTAGTATAAAGAACCATAACAAAAGTTTGAAGTTGGGTATTGTGATGCTTCCACTATTGGACTTTTTGCTCTGATTTTCTTTGGCTATTTGAGGTCTTTTGTGTTTCCATATCTATTTTAAGATTGATTTTTCTATTCTGTGCAGTATGTCATTGGAATTTTGATAGGGATTGCATATATAAGAATTTAGCATCTTATTAACAGGTTATAAAAAATAAACTCTTACTTGTGCTTTTATCAAGTGTGCCTTGAAATAAAATAGTTAAACAAATCTTTTCATCATATAGTGCTTAGATAATGTGCAAAAGAATGAAATTGGACCCTTTCCTTACATCATACACAAGAAATTAATGCAAAATTGGTCAAATAGGTAAATTGAAGAGTTAAAAAACCAGAAGTCTTAGAAGAAGGTATAAGAATACATCTTGAAGATCTTGGGTGAGGCAATACATTTTTTAGGACTTAAAACCAAAAGCAGAAGCAAGAGAAGAAAATAAATTCAAATTGGTTTTTATCAAAATTAATAACTTTTATTTGAAAAGAGTGAATCTTAATTTCTACAAAATTTAAAAACTCCTTTAGGTCATCGGGGGATCCCAGAATGTAGACTCTGATGAAATAATCTAATTATATAACAAAAAATAGATGAAATAAGTTCACTGAAAGTTTGGAAGAAAGGTATTACCAGAATTGTGTTGGAAGCTAAAGGAGTGTGTAAGAATGTGTGTAAAAGGAAGTGCTTATTAGCACTATTTCCAATTAAGAAGATTGTTTCCCAGGTGAGTGTTTGTTAGCAATTCTGACATTCTGATAGCATTATACATGCACATTATGCAGCTGAGAAATTCAATAAATGGATGCTAGGAGTCAGGCTTCTCACTGTTGGAGTGGGAGGTTACAGATCAGCCATCAAACCACCAAGGCACTTTTCATTTTTTAAATACTAAAAAAATATGTTGAACACTTTAAGGTTATATATGTCTTTTCTTGTAGAAGCCCTCACACAAAGAACTGTTCATACAAACTGAATATAGTGTCTCAAAACGGTTAATTTGGAGAAGTGGATTCATAAGGTCTCAAGGGATAAATTAGTCAAAGAGTAATGTCATGAATTAGTCAGTTTTATAATCTAACACATCAGTCTTTTATCCGAAGAACATGAGTCTGGGAAGAATTACATGGCTCTGAATTAGCAAATGCCAACAACATAGGTTGTTTCACTTGTAAAGGTAAAACACTGATCTTGGGTCCCCCCTGTCTTATATTTCCTTTCAGTTATTTTCTCCTCCCAAAGTAACTGCTTATATTTTTGAGATAACCTGCCTTTTTAAAAAAGCTGATTAAACTGTATTTGTCTTCGCTTTCTACACTTTCACTAAAATGTGTCCAGCCATCTGAGATTCACTGGGTCTTTTGAAAATGTGGGATAATAGTTCTTTCACTGGTTCTAAAAATCTCACCATTGTTTCCTCTTTCTAATTCTCTCCTCTTTCTAATTCTAATCTAGTTTGTGTTACATCTTTTCACTGCACATTTCCTGTTGACCTTTCTTCTGTATTTCCTTTCTCTATGAAATCTGATTCATTTGGATATATAGAGTGTGTCATATATCAAATATGACACCAAATTCACATAACAAATTTTAGATTTAAGATGTGCGGTCTATATTCACACTTTTACAGATATGTTAAAATTTAGCTATTTCATTTATTTTTGATTGACACATAGAATTTGTACATATTTATGAGGTACACTGTCATGTATATATATATATGTATGTATATATATGTATATATATATGGCAATTATCAACTCAGGAAAATTAATACAGCTATCGTCTTTATCATCCATTTCTAAAACACAGTAAGCACTGTAGTTTTCAATTTTCTTTTAAGATTTCCAGCATCAGAAGTCTTTGTGTGGTTTTGACTTTGATATATTCTATTAGTTGTCATTCATGTAGTTATATCTTTCTATGCTTTTTTTCAAGTGCTTGTCAGCAATTTTCATAAGAAAAATTTTGGGGAGTTTCTTGAGGCAATTGGATATTTTTCCCCCAGATTGCCTTTGGTTTTGCTTTTGTCAGGTGCTAGGAGCACCAAATACCAAGACCCCAAATAATTTCGAGCATTCTTTGCTTGCCCAGTTGATGCCTACTCATGCTTAATATATCTAGCTGGGTGGGGGTAGGAGGAAGTTGTCAGGACTTTCGTCCATGGCCACAATTTTTCAAGTACCTTTTCTGCTTTTGCTTCATTCAACAAGTCCTTTCTGCTATTATGGGGCAGAGTACTTTGTATGCCTTTTTGTCCTCACCTAAAGAATATAGACACCCAATCAAGATCCTGGTTCAATGTGGAGACAGTCTCTTGTAAGTCCTCCTACCTTAGTGGACTCTGTGCCTTGACTTTGTTCTCTTTCATTCCACTTGCTCTCCAAATCAGATTTTAAATGGCCAGCATTTACAAATGGCTTTGGGGTTCCTTAGTTCCAGCTATTTTTCAGCTTTTTTTTCTGCCACATTTTAGTGCATGCTAATTGTACAGTTAACATTGAAATTCATTTCCATACATGCATATAATATGCATTGATAATATTCAAGAATGAGACTTTTCAGCTTTTTAATGCCTTTAAGGTTGTTTTTGTATTCAGAAAAGGGTGATCCAAATAGCCCCATTCACTATTACCACCAATCTCCCTATTTTCTGCTCTCTTCCCCTGATTTCTATGGTCCTTGTGCATCTTAACTGCTCAGTATTTCTTAGAATATACCATATGAAATATCTTTCTTCTATTAGGAACTCCTTTTCCTTAGGTCACTTTCAGTTTCTTCAGCAATTTTTTGGATGCTGGGGATTGAACCTAATACCTTGTGGATGCTAAGCGTGAGCTTTCTCAGAACCACCAAGCTATGTCCCCAGCTCCCTTCATCAATTTTTTGGTGTGTCTTATTGACTATCTTTTCCTTACTTTGTGGATTCATACCTGTTTCTTTTTTTTTTTTTGCAGTAATTTTAGCGGTATTTTGTAAAGAGCTGAAATAAATGTGTTTTTAATAACCCATACTTTATCAAACTAATCCAAATATAAAAACCAAATGAAAACCACAAAGCACTCATTATAATGTATATCTGTTATGAATTGTGAAAGTACTCATTTTTCGTTCATTATATCACTTTATATTTATATTATATTTATTTGTGCACATTTTATCTGTTATAATCTGTTAATTCCTGTATGTGAGAGTTATTATGTGTTTATTGTTCTATTCCATATGCCTGGTATAATGTCTATCAATATTACGAATTCCCTAGCTATTTGTGAGGAAAAGAAAATACACATGTATCAACAACATTGTCTGGATGGTGCTGATTGAGTGCTAATGAATCTTTTTTGTGATGTATTTTTATTAGCATATTATTGTACAGGGTGAGACATTGTGACATTTATGCAAGTGCTTAAAATATATATTAATTAAATGCATCCCCTCCTTCTTTCTCTTTTATCCTCTTTCTCCCCTTCTAAGAACAATTTAAATAGGTTTTGTTGTTCTATTTTCATACATGAATACAGGATTTCCACTATATTCATCCTCCTTCACCCTTTCTCATGCCCTCTCCTCTCCCACTGGTACCCACCTTTGGAAGGGTTTAACCTCCTTGCCCTTCATTTTTCAAAAAAGGACATTTGTGTTAATCTTTTTAATTAAAGTCTTTGCTTATCGCTCTAAAAAATGCAGCATACTTACAATGAATAAAATGGTAATAGCATTACATGGAGTACTTTCTTGAGAATAGCCACAAATGTAGTTTCTATCTAGAAGGAAACCAAATATGAGGAGAATGATTCCAGCTGTTGCTCCCAGGGCACTAGAAAAATTCACTATTTGGCTTACGTTCATCTGAAATAGAATCAGAATATAACACAATGACTCAGGCTCTTGTGCTATGGACAAACAATATGTGCGGCTTTATTTTATTTTCATCACAATAAAATAAACCATAAACCAGCTGTATGATCATATACAGATCACTTCCTTCCTCCAGGTATCAGATCCTCATCCACAGAATGAGGGGATCCAGTAAACTTCTAGCAACTTTTCTGCCTGCAATATTCTATGCCCAAGAACTTCCATTCACATGGGGATGGAGTGTAGATGGTGGTATATAGGGGTATATAGGGGTTGCCATGTTGTGTTGCATTTTACACTCTAATAAAAGTCATTGCCTATTTATATATTTTGTTTTAAGACTTGTGTTTAACTAAACATTATATCTCTCTGTCATTTTTTCCTTTATTGTTGTGCTGGGTGGGGGTACGATGTGGCATTTACACAGGTTCTACAATATATCAAATCTATCATACTTGAATTTGCCCCTCTACCATTCCCCTTTATTCCCTCCCCATCCAATTCCTGGAACAGCAATCTTATAGGAGATATTCTTGGCTACAAATTACTTACTTGGTTATTAATTGATCTCTAATGTCTTTGATTCTTTATGTAAAATAGAAATATTCTACTTGTTTTTTAAACATTTATATTAGTATATGATAGTTATATAGGGGATTTCATTGTGTCATTTCCATATATACATATATTATTCCCTGGTTTGGTTCATTCCTTCCATTATTCTCCCTCCTACCCTATTTCCTTTCTTAAAATAACTTCAACAGATTTTAATGTTCCATATTCATACATAGAAATTACATATAAAAAGTAAATCAACCATATTCACCCTCCAAAATTAATCTTTAAGTTACAATTTTATATTCATTAACAATGTATTCTTTATTTCTCATGATTTAATTAGGGTGTCTACAGTGTGCCTTTCCTATAAGCCAAACTTATGCCTGTCAAAGTGCCTAGTATGATGCAGTAGGTGTCAAAAATACTTACAGAAAGAATGAATGAGGGAGTGACTGGAATACTGAGACCCATTCTACTATTAATTGACCGGAGAACTTGGATAAGTCAATTCTCTGCCTCAGTGTCTTCATATGCAAATAAGAATTAAAGTAGATGACCTAGAACACACTCTTCGGGCACTAGTGGCTAGAATTCTATGAAAATAGGAAGCAAACACCATTGATTGGTATCAGTACTTGACAGTTTATGGAATTATGGTGGCCTGGCCAGAATGAATTATTTTAAAGTTAAAAATCTTAAAACAAAGTAGAAATACAACTCACCAGAGTTTCTGTGCTTTTTCTTTTCAATGCTATTAGGAAGGCTCCAGAAATAATGAACTGTTGGAAAGTTGGAAAGAATAGATATCTTAATGAAGGACATGTTTAGCTCATGTTAAAGATTTCTCACAGAGTGGGCTTCTGCCGGTTTCTTTTCCACCCATTCCTCTGAGTCCGTACGTCCTCAGGGAAGTGAGAAGGGTGGGAGGCCTTGAATAACTGTCCCTAAATACACGGTAGACAAAACACTGGAATGGAAATCTACTTTAGCTTTAGCTGCTTATTTGAACATGAGAAAATTTTTAATCTCACAGGGCTTTAGTTTTCTGATCCATTTTCCTTTTGTAACTATTGTGGACTCATCTATGATATGACACAATAGTGTCAAGTTTGTAACTACTAAGAGAAGGTTCCATTTTATTAGAGTCCAATGTGTTCTTTTGGATGGGATTGTAAAATGAAGGGCTTGAAAATGATTGTAATATGCTGATAATTCTGGAAAGAAAAAAAATGATTCAGGAATTTTCATGGAGGTGAGCTAAATGTAGCATCACTGTCTAGCAGGAAGTACAAATCTGATGACAGTCCACCCAAGTTTAAATTTCTCAACTCCTTATTGGTATTTCTTCATCCTCATCTCTCCACCCATTCTGCCTTTGATAAATTCCTTCAGTTCACATAATATGAAATACTCTCCCAGACTTCTCAGACTTTTGATCATGTTTCTCCTTTGTTCTGCAATAAAGCATCCCCATTTTTACACCTAGACATCCCTGTTCTGATCCTCTGTACATGTCTTCCCCTGACTAAGCAATCACTCATCCTTTAAAATGTAGTCAAGATCGAAATGGCTTTAGAAAACATCCCTTATACTCAGGTACCTATGGAGGCATCTCCTGTGTCTCTGTCAGTACTCATTGTATCTTATGGTAGTTGTCTGACTCTACTCTCAACTGAGACCTGTCCAGCTATTTATCTGATCCCCACAATATGCCCATTCTCTGAGACCAAGTTAGGTGCTAAATTAATGTTTGATGAATGTGATTAAATGTGATAAGTAAATGTCTCTGAGTAGTTCAGAAAGCACATCTCTGGAGCCTCTATGCTCCACGTCTCTAAAGAGGAAATTGCACCTTTGTCTCTACTTACTTCCAACACCTCTACAATAATGTTTATTATACTGCCTCAAAATATCTGTTTACATGTTTTCTTTCTTGCTAGACTGAAAGTGCTCTGAAGGATCCTCACTTACTAACCTTTGCATCCTCATTGCATTGCTCTATGTATCTGGCCTACAATATACAGGAACTAATTTTGAATGAATTAATGGAAAAGTAAGTATGTATAAGACCCAAAGAAATATTCCCAAAGAAAGTTTCAAAACCCCAAGGTGAGAGAAATTAGTAAATATGGTGACTTAATGTGGAAACAATTTCAACAAGATTAATCTTTGTTGTACTTTTCAAAGCACGTCATGTACCTGGCCCTTGCTTATTTCTTAATTAAGAATTCACCAACATCCTGACAGGTTAATTTGGCTTCAGATTGGATGTAATTGACTATACTCACCAAAACAGAACCCCAGAATGGATATCCTGAAATAAATATGAAGGGAAATCTTGGGTATGGTTTTACCAAGGTGAAAAGGAAAATAATTCCAAAAGAAAAGTTCATAATTCCAAACAGGATCTGAATAGCCTGTAAATGGACAAAAAAAGTCATGGTGAAGGAAATGCAAAATGATGGATGGGTTTCTTCCTGTTTAGATCTTTGTTTAGTTAAAAGGATTTGGCAGTTCCCTTCTTTTCTAAATCAGGGAAGGATGGTAGAAGTTCCTTCTTAATCATATTGTTCTATCTGATATTTGGCAATAGGGGAAATATTCTAAATCAGTGCTCCTGAAAATATGGTCTATGAACTGGCAACATAAGGTTCAACTGGGAGCTAGAAATGCAAACTGTAAGTCTCTGTCCATACTTATTAGAATCTCCAGATGCTGACAAACCCATGTCTAAATAAGGTTTTCAGCCCTTTAGCATATAAATGTTAATGAGGAGCACTGAATTATAAATTACTTCACCATACTGAGCTCTGGAAGAAGCAAATGCTTAGAAAACCCTTCTGCAGATGGTCAGTGCCCTGAGCCTGCTGAGGTATTGCCACACTCCCAGGCTCAGACCACTCCTCATCTGCTTTTCTTTCTCTTTTTGTCTCTCCATGCTACACTTGTATTGCACACCTGAGATGTTCTGCAACACCAAGCAGTGGCTTGACAAGTGCTATGAAAGATTAATGAGAATGATGAAAGTATGGAAGGCATACAACATAGGAGTCTGTGACCTCTGTCCTCTTTTATTTTCAATCCTCTTTTTTACTGGGTAATCTCACTTGCTGCCATAGCAACAGTTACCTTCTAGTAGTTGAGTCCCAAGTGGTGTCATTTTCATTAAATCCAGATAAACATCCTCACTTGAATGCCCCACAAACACTTTATATTCAGTGTGTTCAAGACCAAGTTCACTTTTCCCCCTTTAAACCTGATCCTCTTTCTATTTTTTCTGCTTCTGTTGTTGATACTATCATCTTGTTAGGCTGAAGTCTTAAGGTCATTCTCTGTTTTTCTAATATTCCTTGATCCTAACAATCAAAAACTAGCCAACATTCCTATTATCACGACTTGCAAAATCACAAATATTAAACCTACCCCCCCAATTTTGCTGTTGTGGCCAATGTTGGGGCACTTATTTCAAACCCTTTAAGTTTCTCCCACATATCAATCTATATTTAGAGATAACTCCTCCATTTACATAATTCTTCACATACAGTTGGTGAGTTTCAAAAAAAAAGAAAGAAAAAACAACCTTCCCTTCTTGGTAGTGAGCTCACACTGGGGACACATTGTCCTCAGCTTCTCAATGCCCTAAATATTAGAAGTGAGTATTACTCTTGCAAAGGGAGTCTGGAGAGTTTGTTCATCTCAATAGGTGTTACTCACTTATCTCAATTATTAAAATTCTCTTCTAGCTGGTCTATACCATCTTCTTTTTCTCTATTCCAATGTTGAATAAATGCTAAAGTAAGATTTCAAGAAAAATACTCCAATTATTCCTCTCACTATTGTTTGAAAAATAGCTCCTAAATCTTATGGTCAGTAAACCCACACAGAGAATAATTTTTAAAATCATATATTCCTAGCCTCCCACTTGTTTAAAATTGTTCAGTAATTCTGGGATGAGTTTTAGGGACTTGGTGTGTATATTATGAAGCTTCTTTGGTAGCATCAACAATTTTATAGTTTGGAAACTAATTGTGTACATTACAAATCTAATTAAGAAGGGAAATAAGATTCTTGGAAAATAGGTCTCCAAATGACCTTCCCAATTGTTTCTTTTTTTACTTTCTATCTTAGTTTCTAAATATTTTTAGTATTTTGTATTGTAAATTATATATGGCAGGTATAATACTTACCATTTTATTAGAATTAGTAGACTTCATTTTTAGAGAATTTTTAGGTTCCAATAAAATTGAGTAGGAAATACTCAAATACAGGTTCTACGTGCCATACCCTTGCTCACCTCAGCCTCCCAATTATCAACATGTCACTTTAGTGCAGTACCTTTGTTATAATTTAGAAATCAATGTTGCCACATCATCATCCCACATCCATGGTTTATATTAAGTTTCATTCTGTGCTGTGCATTCTATGAGTTTTGGCAAGTGTATGACATGTGTCTACCATTGAAGTATCATATCATATAGACTAGTTTTCCTGTCCTTAAAATCCTCTGAGCTCCACCTGTTCATTGTTCTGTGTCTCCCCTTGGTTCTCTGGCAACCACTGATCTTTTTGTTGTCTCCCCAGTTTTCTTTTTCCAGAACACCGTGTAATTGAAATCATAACATATAGCCTTTACTAACTGGCTTCTCTCAATTATCAATATGCATGTAAGCTTTCTCCATGAATGATAACTTAGCTTGATAACTCATTTCTGTTACCACTGAATAATATACCATGATTTATTTATCCATACTGATTGTTTCATATTGCTTGTTTTTTGATCCTCTTAAATCTTTTAAGCCTAGATTGACCTCTCGCAACTCCCCTTTTTAATTCCTGACCTATGATACCTTGCATATTTATTTATAATCATTTCTCAATGTAGACTATCATGTCCTCCCCTCCCCTGATTTCCACTTGTGGAAATGCCATCACTTCTTTAGAGTCCAGACTAAGTGCCATATTTGCTGTGAAATTGTCTCATCCCTTTTAGCTAGAAGTAACTATTTCACCTCTGAGTTCCCTACAATCAGTATTACAACTTATGACTTTTATTATATGATCCATTGTAATGTAGTTTTTAATATATTCATTTTATTACTTCTGAACTATGTATTTATTATCCTTAGTGAGCTAGGTTGTGTTAACTTCTGTAACCCTCCATAGCATCTAACATAATTCTTTTCACCATGTTCAATGCATTTGTTAAAGTATTTTGAACTCTTTAATATGACTTTGGATTCCATTGTATTTGAATAGATGCTAAAGCAGGTTGGACAGATGGTCCTATCACTGGGACCTCTTTCTCTATTTCCTTGGGATTTTTTTCCTAAATAAGTTTAATTGAAAAATAAATGTTTCAAATATATGCTCAACATTACAATCTGAAACATATTCTTATGTCATCTGAATGACAGGTTGGTAAATCAAAGAAAATAATATTTATGGAATGGATAGATGAATGGAGAAGTAAGTATTTATAGTATTAAGAGGGTATTCTATAAAATATTCATATAAAATATATTTATCATGTTAAACTGTGAAATCTTTTTTTGGTTGGGAAAATATAAAACCATCCTTTGCAATAATCCAAAGTATAGAATCTAGTCTGTTAACCTCTGTTTTCTTTTTCCTCTTTAAAATTGACTAGGAAGCTCTTAAATACTCAATTTGGATACTGTGACCTTCAAGATCCCATGGATCTTGACTTACTCATCTTGTATTTTCCTGTTCACAGAATACTGTAGATAATTGGTATAGCAATGTGATCTCTCTCTCTCCTGAACTGAGTGAAGCTAAAAGTTGTAGTTGGCTCCTACTTCTAAAACGTATGCCACCAAATAGCTTTATCTTTCTCCCACCCACCTCTCAGTAGAATGTATATTGTGGCAAGTCTTAGTACTTACCCCTAAGATCTTCATTTTGGTAACAAAAAATTTCTGAATGAGGTTTTGGGACTTGTAGGTTGTGGCTGTGAGTTCTGATGACTGATATTCTGGACTGTTGATATCTGAAGGAAATAACAGAAACACGGGACTGTGCGCAGCATTTGAATCCATGGTGGTGCAGTTGGTATTCTGAAATGAAAGAAAATTATTTAGTTGGTTTTTCAATTTAGACCATGTTCTTTCCCTGTACCAAAGCTGTCTGCAGCACTGGCATTGTTGGGCTTTAAATTGGAATTATAGAACCTTAGAGTCACAAAGTCATAGAATTTCAGTACTGGTCAAGATCTCAAGAAGGTTAGTAAGTAAACTGCCTGGGTCTGAGGTTTGTGGATTGGATCAGAGAAGCAGATTCAAGGGAATTTTGGTCAAGACACATCCCTCAGTTACATACAACTTTGAGATATAGATAGATAGATAGATAGATAGATAGATAGATAGATCTCTATCTCTATCTTTGTATCTATATCTCTGTAGATATCTATAGATATCTATATCTCTGTAGAGATATAGATATAGATATATATGCCACAGAAATAATTAGCCTTTTTTTTTTTTGCAGTACTGGGGTTAAACTCAGGGCCTCATGCTTGGTAAGCAGGTGTTCTACCATTTGAGCCACTCCTCCAACCCTTTTTTGTGTTGGGCATTTTTGAGGATCACAGGTGTGAGCCACCAGTGTCTGGCTAATTAGCCAATTTTTAAAGTGCACATAGAATCCATGCTGCCTGTTGTTTTGTTTTTTTGCCACTTGATTTTAATAGCTTTACCTGTGTAACAGACCACCTCCAAACACAATGGCTTCAAACAACCACACTTTATTTGGTTGATACTTCTGTGTGTCATAGAGTTGGTTCTTCTGGTCTCCTCCTGCTCTGCTCATCTCTACCAGATTTTCTTATGCATGAAATTACATAGAGTGTCCAGAGTTAGATGAGTTAGGATGGCCCAAGTTATGTATTTTTCAGTTGGCAGACTCAAGATTCAGAGGATAAGGAAGCAGATTCCATGTCTTCTTGGGAGGGTCTGTTCTGTCAAATTGTCAAGACATAGATGAAGGAAGGAGAATTTGTGCTTATTTTAAAATTTTCTTGTACTCTACCTTGCCATTCTATAGTCTTTTCTATTGAGATCAGGTCTTCTTTAATTGAACTTCCTATTGTGACCAGCCTGTCTCCAGCTGCCAGCTAGAACATTTTAAAAGACCGCCCATCCACTCATCCCTTAAAATTTATTTTTCCTGCATTTAAGTTCCCATTCAGTTTTCTATGAACATAAAATCCTAATGGTGATCCTCTTTCAGGAAAATCATCTGATGTTGGGTTAGTGTTTCCTGAATTTAGCAAACTCTATTCCAATATATACTTTTTTGACAGTACACTAGGGTTTGAACTCAGGGCCTTTTGCTTGTTGGACAAACATTCTACCACTTGACCCAAGCCCTCAGCCCTTTTTGCTTTAGTTTGTTTTTCAGATAGGGTCTTGTTTTCTTGCATCAGATCACGATGACCTTCCTATATCTACTTTCCATGTAGCTGGGATTGCAGACATGTGCCCCTTCACCTGGTCCCTCCGATGTTTAATGTACTGTTTCACGGTCATTAATCATGCTTTAGCTTTGCTCTGGACTTTTTCTAGTTTCTGTTTGTTTCCATCTTAGGGATGATGATTACAATAACATTCTCATGGTTATCTGACAAATGGATAAAGATAAATTATTTATTATGCTTTAATTCATCTAAGGTAACTCAGGATGCAGCATAAAACTCAATCTTATGAGTACAAAAACCCTTAATTAAGTGTAAGCCCTTTTATTTGCTAGTTACAGGATCTGGGCTGAGTTATCTATTAACTCACATATTCACGTTCACTTACCTATTTATTAAAGCATTGCATTTCTTATCTGGAATAATAATTATGTTATAGGATTATTTTGAGTGAATTATAAAGTACGTGGCCTATAGTACATGCTAAATAAACTGTAGCAATAATAAAAATAATAGCAATACATATTATTTCTCTTCTTACCATTCTAGTCATAGTGGCCAAATACTTTGTCTTGCTTTATGTTTGCATTATTTCCAAAGTTCATATTGAATGGTTCTTTAAATGCTATACTTATATCTATTAGCTTACCTATAAGAAAATTGAATGTGTTACGTTGAGTTGGTCCAGAAATGATTTTACCCAATTTCTCTAATAAATCTAAGCTAATTCACACATGAATGATGTGCTTCTGTCCACTACTTTTCTTTATTCCCATATCCTTCAATTTCTTCTTATTTTATAATCTGTAAACAGCTACTCTTTTGTGGGAATTAGTCCAATCTTAAGGCTGCTTGTGGATTAATACATGACACCTTTATATTACCTAATGTTCCCAAATAAAGTTTGTTTTAAAGCTTCTTATTTTCTGGTTATTCCAGGGAAGCTAGGAAGATTCAGGTGGTCAGACCATGGTCTCTGATATGTAGTCAATAAATTTAGGCCTCTGTTCAGATTCTGTTACTAGGTGGCTACAGGAAAGGCTCTTTGTGTTCTTTCTCTCATTCTTACCTTACTACAGATGAAGCTTTTCTTGTTTTTTTCTTTCTAATGTTTCTTGCTATTGCAAAAGCTCCCTTCATTCTTTTAAAAGATCTATATAAATCTTTTAGAGAGTATAGCAATGGCAGGTGTCATATGCATGGGAATCTCCACTCTAGTTTTTGTTTGCTCTTTTTTTTTTTTGGTTGTACTGGAGTTTGAACTCAGGACTTCAAACTTGTTAACCAAGTGCTCTACCACTTGAGCCACCCTGTCAGTGCTTTTCTGTGTTGGGTATTTTCTTTGTGTTTTTTTAAAATTTTTATTTTTTAAATTCATTTATTCACATGTGCATACATTGTTTGGGTCATTTCTTCCCCTGTCGCCCTCCCCCCCCCACTCGCTTCCAGGCAGAACCTGTTCTACCCTTATCTCTAATTTTTTTGAAGAGAAGACATAAGCATAATAAGAAAGACAAAGCATTTTTGCTAGTTGAGTTAAGGGTAGCTATACAGAGAGATTCCTAGCATTGCTTCCAT